ATGTAATAATAATATAAGACCACCTAGCTCTCACACAGTGCATTTCATCCATAGCTCTCAAAGTGCTTTATAAAGGAGGTCAATATCATCAGCCCCATTATACAGATGAGGAAACTGAGGCATGGAGCAGGGAAGTGACTTGCCCAAGGTCACCCCGCAGGCCAGCAGCCAAACTGGGAATAGAATTTAGGTCGCCTGATTCCAGTCCGCTGCTCTGAAAAGAACCTAGAGTGGTGGATGGGAATTGGGTGGTATCCCTTTACAGCGTAAAGAAGCCTTCTTATAGGGTTCCCTTGGTCTAACTTCTCCCTGCCCCAGTGTGCCCACATGGTGGCGTTGTTTTTTGCACTGACTGGCACGTTTTCAGACTCTGCCTGAATTTTGTCACCATTTCAACAGTCTGGCTTCACACCCACCATCCTTTGCATTGTGCGACTGTGAACCCCTGTGTGAATCATGCAGGACGTCACTCCATATTGTGCACCTGTGCCGGGCCTGACCCTAACATCCCTCCCCTTTTTCCTCCCCTGCAGGCGGAGCTGGAACTGGGGGACTTGATTGAGATCTTCCGCTTCGGATACCAGCACTGGGTCATCTATGTGGGAGACGGCTACGTTGTTCACCTGGCCCCCCCCAGTAAGGCAACAGACGGGCCTGATTTCACCATTGCCCAGCCCCCTTATGCCACTGTTCACACCAGTGCAAAGTGCTACCACTGTGCTCGATGGAGCAGGACGACTTGAGAAAGGAATAGAATTGGGGGGAAGGGGGCTTAATGGTTAGAGCAGGGGGGCTGGGAGTCAGGATACCTGTGCTTTATCCCCAGTTCTGGGAGGAGAGTGGGGCCTAGTGGTTAGAGCAGGGTGGGTGGGAATTGGCATTTCTGGGTTCCATTCCCAGGTACTCTTCACAGTGTCTCTCTCTCATCCCAAGGTGAGATACCTGGGGCGGGCTTTGCCAGCCTGATGTCTACACTGACCAACAAGGCCCTGGTGAAGAAGGAGCGTCTCCTGGATGTGGTGGGGAGGCACCGCTATCGGGTCAACAACAAGCATGACAGGAAGTTCCCCCCGCTGCCTCCGGGGAAGATCGTGCGGGCCGCCGAGCAGCTGGTGGGCCAGGAGATGCTTTACAAAGTCACCAGTGAGAACTGCGAGCACTTCGTCACTGAGCTGAGATATGGCGTGGCCAGGAGTGACCAGGTGCTGGGGCTGGCTCCCTGTCATCCTGACAGGACTCCTGGGTTCTCCCCCCCACCTCTGGGAGGGGAGAGGGGTCTAGTGGCTAGAGCAGGAAGACCCGTGAGTCAGGCCTTTTGGATTCTCTGCTCATCATCCTGAACATCCCTGGGCCACTCACATCCCCCCCTCTCTGCCTGTTTCCACATTTGTAATGACCCTGACTTGGGGGGGTAAGAGGCAAAGGACGCTGGGATGCGGGGCATTTGGGATCGAGGGGCCCAGGGCTGAGATCAGGATCCCACACTGTGTAGAGCAGACACTGGTCCCTCCTTGCTCTGCACTGGGGCAATTTAGCATCCAGTATAACTTGGTGTAATTGGTCCAGACAGCTCTGCAGACCCCTACTGCTCTGCAATCATCATCCCTCACTCTTCCAGGCACTTCCCATTTGCAGAGCTCAATGTGCTTTACAAAGCAGGTCCGTATCATCATCCCCATTTTACAGATGGGGAAAGTGAGGCATAGAACAGGGGGAAGTGACTCACCCAACAGAGCTGGGAATAGAACCCTGGGGTCCTGACTCCCAGTCCTGTGCTCTAGCCACTAGGCCCCACTGCCTCCCATTGCCATCCTTCCTTGGCCTGTCTGCCCCACTTCCTGATTCACTTCCTCTCTTATCTTACAGGTGCGGGACGTCCTGGTGGGGGTGAGCGTCGCTGGGCTGGGGCTGGCTGCTCTGGGCCTCCTTGGGGTTGCAGTCCAAAGGAGAAGACGCAAGAACCAGTAACGGACTTCAGTGGATCGGAGGGGTTTGAGGTTTTTTTGGTGGTTTTTTGATCCAAGCAGAAGAGACTTTGCAGCCGTTTTGGGGGTGTGGTGGGAACTTCGTATGTGTTGCTCTGTCCCCTCTTTTGGGTGAACACCTTCCCCACCACCCCGCCGGCACCAGCACAAGAATAAAACCAGGAGATTGGTACAAAGTCACCTTGGTCGTGGCCTGTGTGGTGATGGGGGGGATGTGGTGGATTCAACCAAGGGGGGAGCTGGCCTATGCTGGGGTCTTTCTGCCCAGGGCGGGGCGCTATGTGTGGAGCTGGATGGGTTTGCTGAGGAGTTCAGGGGGCTCTAAGGGTGGGGGGAGCTGTCCATTTGGGTCACAGGGGGAGCTGCTGGGACAGAATGTCTTGGAGATCTTGGTTGCTTCTTAGTGAGCCTACGTGATGTTCCGAGCCCCGGGGTGGAGGGAGGGAATTTTGGGTCCAGGGGTAGGGGCCGAGCTGGTGGGAGGAAGGATGTGAGGGAATCCCATGTCCAGGTGCAGGGGACTCCAGGTCTGAGTATAGGAGGCGAGTCATGAGGGGTAAGGGGGCGGGGGATCTGACCTTTGGACTGTCTGACCCTAAATAACATAGGTGCTTTTGAGAATTTGACCCTAAGTGAATTATGAGCCTAAGTCCTGTTCAAAGTCAATGGGACTTAGGTGCTTTTGAAAAGGTCACCCCTTGTCATCCCAGGTTAGCCCTCCTGGTGTCCGCACAGCCATGAGATGCCCCAGGGCAGCTGGAGTCCTGGAATTAACACTGGCTGCAGCCTCAATGGATCAGACTGCACCTGCTGTCTAGAAGCCCCCCTAAGGATTCTGGCCCCATTGCGCTGGGTGCTGCCCAGCCCCTACATGAGATCGGGGCCCCATTATTCCAGTGTCACAGCGAGGGCCAGCTCCAGGCATCAGCCTGGCAAGCAGGTGCTTGGGGCGGCCACTCCGGAGAGGGGCGGCACATCCAGGTATTCAGCGGCAATTCGGCGGACGGTCCCTCACTCCCGCTCGGAGCGAAGGACCTCCCGCCGAATTGCCACCGCATATCGCAATCACGGCTTTTTTTGGCTGCTTGGGGCGGCCAAAACCCTGGAGCTGGCCCTGGTCACAGCTCTAGGTGAGCGCCCCCTCTTAGCCACTCACCAGATTGCTGTGGATCCTCTGGAGTCTGAACAGAGTCAACATTGCCCCAGTCTTGGGGTCCCTGTACACACTCGTCTGGGGCAGACCCTCTAATATCTCCTGCTGAGGGCTGCAGCTCCTGGAATCAGCTGACTCCTCAGACTCCCCCATAGCGTAAACACACCATGTCCCAGCACCCCCAGAAGGCATGAGCATTGTGGGTTACAGTTCCACTCGTGCAGGGTATGTGGTGAGTGTAACATAACACACAGAGACGCTGTGCCTAGGACTCTACAGCACTATGTGCCTCACTTAGCTATATGAGAAATATACAGGAAACAACAAACACCCTAACTGAAATACCCCCTCACTAGCTCACCCTTCCCTTGGGGCACCCTCTGAGGTCAGGTAGGCGGAGTTCCCACTTCCTCCACCTCAGCAGCCTCCTGCCACAGCTTCTCTTTTCTTGAGTTGGCAAAAAGGGCCAACGCCCACTGCTAGCTCTTCTTCTTTATAACCTCCCAGTCCCTCCAGCAGGTGACACCCTTGTCAGCCTGTCCAGGTCATTCCAACCCACAGCCAGGTGATGTTGTTGCCAGGCAACCTCGCCCTGATAAACCAGTTCAGCTGAGTCAGAGCTAGCCTGATGTTTAGAGCGGTTCTGTTTCAAAGGTTGCGCACTTAGTCAGTGGTGCTCCCTTATCAGCCGTGGGGGTTTCAGCCCAATGGGAGGTCACAGGACAACAGAGACGGTAAAAAACCCTGACACAGACACAGGCAGAGAATGTCCCCGTCAAACAGTCTTAAGCCATATATACAGATTCCCCAAATCATCACAGCCGGCCCCTGCCCTGAAGCGTTTACAATCTAAATAGACAAAGCGAACACGGCTCGCCTGGCACAATATGGCCCTGATCCCAGTCAGGGCCTGTGCAGCAGTCAGCACGGGGAGGGCCCTTACTGTGGTCAGGACCTCTGGTTGTTACCATAATATAAACCATGGACATGCTTCTCTTCAGTGTAAGTGACTTTCTCACTAGCCTCAGCGTCTGGATTCTGTATTTCTGATGTAACTAATTTTCCCTAATAACACCTGGATGGTAGGTATGCAATTTGTGTTGGATGTCGGTACCTGGGTACATAACCGTGGGGCAGTGAGTAGGAGTGTGGTGGTGGTTTTATCTGTGAATACGGCCTTGGAGAGACCCACCCTGGAAAGCTGCGTTCAGTTCTGGGTGCATATTTTAAAAAGGACATTGAAAAATTGGAGCGAGTGCAGAAAAGAGCCAGAGAAATGATTTGAGGACTGGAGAAAATACCTAGCAGTGAGAGCCCTCGGCAGCGCAATCTGTTCACCGTCTCTAAAGGCGGATCAAGTGATTACTTGATCATGGGGTGTGTATCTCATTGTGGGGTGCAATTCAGACCAGTGAGAGGCTGTGTCACTGCCTGTAATATAACCCTGGGGGCCCCAGAAAGCTTCTGCTCCTTGTGGCTGCATGCGAAGGACACACACACACACAGCCTGCAGCCAGCACGCTCTGTTCTGTAAGCCGTGCAGCTCACATTCAACCACTTTGACTCAACAGCCTGCCAGCAGTTATCACAGACACGTGCTTGTCTTACCAGCCTTGGTTGATGTTAGCAGGTGACCCCCAACAAACACCCCAGTCACAAACAAGGCATTTTAAGTTGTTCGTTCTCCTTTAGGTAGGTAGCAGAGCAGTACCATGAGAGGAGTAGAACAGGAAGAAGGCAGAATTGAGACCTTTCAAAATTTTGGCCCACGCAAGAGGAATGGGGGCATCATTTGAGCTCCCCGCCTCAGGTGCCAAAATGTTGTGGGCCGGCCCTTCAGGAGCTCAAGAGCCAGGCAGGACAGTCCCATGGGCCGGATGTGGCCCATGGGCTGCAGTTTTCCCACCTCTGGGCTAACTCATGTGAAAGCTACAAACTGCCTTGTCATCGCTACCGTGTGCCACTAACATGAATTAGGGACACACTTTTTTTGTAACTAGCAAAGTCACAATCTGGTTCCTTTATTTGGCTCTATGCTGCTGATTAGGCACCGCCCCATTGACATCAGTTCTCCACCTCCCAAGGAAACCAAAAGTGAAATCACAGGGCAGAGAGGAGACGAGACTAGAAGAAACTTACTTGGCCGTCCGGACGCTATGGAGATGCCCCCGCTGTTTGTGAGTAGCCCCGTGCAGAAAGCCATGGCCAAATCATTGCCAAGGCTCTGGGTTCCCCTGGGCAGCGGTTCTCAACCTTTCCAGACAACTGTTCTCCTTTCCAGAGTCTGATTTCAGCTCCCGGTGGCAGGGCTTGGGCTTCAGCTCCGCCACCCCCGGGTGTACCTGTAACTTAGCTACGTGGGGCCCCCTGCGGAGTGGGCAGTATAAACAAGTCATTGTATGACATTGTAGATTGCACTGACTTCGCCTGTAAAACTAGGCAACTATCCAGCTGTGTTGTCATCCCCCCCAGAAGAGCTCTGGGGTACACGTACCCCCTCGGGATGTCAGTGGGGAGCCTGACACGCACTAGCTCTGCTTGAGAACCTGTGCTAAAACTAGTCGGGTGGACCTTGCGGCCCGAGTGGTGGCTCAGGCTGGCCACCCAAGCAAAGCCCCAGGATGTCAGGTGGGCTTGGAGGCAGGTGGCTAGCCTGAGACACTGCTCATGCTGCAATGGCCACGTTGCTATTTCTAGCAAGTTCGCTGGAGCAGAGTTGGGTGTGTCAGTTACCCCCAGGCCAGGAGGAACGCTGCCAGCTGCGGCGCAGACATCCTCTCAACGCCTGGGCTGGCTGCTCTGGGTGCAGTTTCCTATAGGAGCTGCAGGGAGTTGGTCGCTGGGTGCCTCCTGCTGGACAGTGGCTCAGAGTCCCTGGGGAGCTAGCGCTGATGCCAGGTGTCTCCTGAGGGCGGAGAGAGGAGTCCATGCCCCTGGCTAGGGGGAAGCTGGACGGTGTCAGATGTCTGCTCTCTCCAGCTCCCATGACCTCCTCTGCCTGACCTGGGTTCCTGTGGTGGGGTGGGAGTCAGTGGAGGATGGTTGGTGGGGCACGGGGGAGCTGGTGGGAGAGATTAGCAGGGGAGAGAGGGGTGGGTTTAACAGAGAGGTGAGAGGCACCAGTGGGGTGGAGGGAAAGGGAAAGATGGGGGTGTTAGCAGTTGGAGCTGGAGGATTAGCAGTGGGAGCTAGGAGTTATCGGTAGCAAGGGGAGCCAGTGGGGGTTAACGGGGGTAGGGGAAACTGGCAGGGGGGATTAGCGGGGGTGGGGGAGTATGGGGGGGTTAGCAGACAGCAGGGGACAAGGGGAGCCAGTGGGGGATTTACTGGGGGCAGGGGAGTCAGCCACAGGGTTTTGTGGGGCATCTGGGAGGTTAGAGGGTTCAGAGGCAGCCAGTCTGGGGGGTACTATCCTGGCTTCCTCTGAGCATTCAGTTTCACTTGGCTCTCACTCCCGCAGGAGGAACCAAACCCTGGGGACCTGATAGAGATTTTTCGCATTGGATACCAGCACTGGGCCCTCTATGTAGGAAATGGTTACGTCATCCACCTGGCCCCTCCCAGTAAGGAATGGCCCTCAATGAGGGAGGAGGGGTGCTGATCCTGTGGGGCGAGGATTTGTCTGGGCAGGGCAGAGGTGCTGGGCATCTCAGGCCGGGGTATGGGGGCAGGGGGCACCATAACAGACGGGGTATGTGCACTGTGATCCAGCAGGAAATCTGTCCTGGATTATCATGGGGGATGCCTCTATTTACTGGGGCTGCCTGAGTTTCTGAGCCCCAGCAAGTCAGGCAGCAGGTTGAGGAACATGGGGAGACTGAGATGGGGATGGGGGAGACTGGGATGGATGTGGTCTCTCAAGCTAGGCATCCCCACACATTGAGATGCCCCTAATTTTCACTAGTTACTTGTGAAAACATCAGCCTTTGCCTCTGCCTGCCAAAGCCTGAGTGACGCTCAGATGGCCCCGTCATGCCCCCCAGCCCCAGGTCTGCCCCGCATGCTTGGGTCACACTCCCAGCCACTGCCTTCAGGGACAAGGCTCTTCAATCCTGTGACATTAGAGAAGGGAACCCAATGCCAGTCTGGCTCCTGCATTAGCAAGATGGGTGGAACCCAATGCCAGCTGCTAGAACTAAACAGTACTCTGACGGAGCTGTGTGCCAACCCAGTGATGGGGACCGATCCGCCCTGGGTAGGAGCTATGGGAAATCTGAGAGAGAGAGAGAGGGTAGGTATGCGGAAGGGTGGATGGATAGCTAGACGGGTGTGTCTGGGGATGGACGGATAGCTAGAGGGGGTGTATGCAGCTATATACATCAATAGACATGTGGCTAGATAGGAACATATAACGATGGATAGACGGGGGTGTGTGTGTGGGGATGGATGGGTGGATAGAGAGGAATGTATGAAGATTGGATGGATAGAGAGGGTGTACGGATGGGATAGATAGTGATATATGGACGGTTAGATCAGATGGACAATTGGCACCCCCAGGTGAGTATGCAGGAGCTGGCTCCTCCAGCATCATGTCCGTGCTGAGCGACCGAGCCGTGGTGAAGAAGGACCGTCTCTGGGACGTTGCTGGTGGTGACCGGTACCGAGTCAACAACAAGTATGATGGGAGGTGCTCGCCGCTGCCTGTCAGCAAGATCCTCATGGAAGCCGAGTTTCTGGTGGGCCAGAAGATGCGGTACAGCGTCACCAGTGAGAACTGCGAGCACTTTGTCACCAAGCTGCGCTATGGCCAGCCCAAGTGCGACCAGGTACGTGCAGGTGCCCCTCTCATGCGCTTGTCACTGTCTTCCTGAAGGGTGGGCTTGGTGTAAGCCAGCCACACCTGCTTGGTCAGGGTCTGTGCAGTGCTTGGCACAATGGGTCCTGATCTCACTCAGGGTCTGGGCAGTGCCCAGCACAACAGGGCCTTGATCTCAGTGTATAGCTGCTGCTGTAAGCCATATAATGGGGATGTGCTCCATGTGCTGTGCAGCAACTGTTAGAGCTCTGGCTTAGTCCCCCTCATGGACAACTGGGAGGTTATAAAGAAGCTGATCTAGTAGCTGGTCCCTCCGTCAGGTGACACCCTCATCAGCCTATCCTGGTGACCCCCCACTCCTGTCAGTCAGGTAATTTGTATTCTCACAAACTACCACCTGACAATTTTCTGGTCTCAACTCCTCTGCTATCACAGGTGTTGGAGATGCATCTTGATTTAAAGAGATATGGTTACTTTCCAAAAACTTATCAGTAATAGCATCCTGAAAAACTGGGACCTGGATTGGGGTACCCTCCACCACCCCTTTCTCTGTCCCTGAGAAGTCAGACTGCTCCCCTCCAGGAGGTCAGTTACACAGTTCCCTCTCAAAACCTGAGTCACAGGCTAATTGCCTGGGTGCACAGATGCTGACTTAGCCATTTGGTCCTGTGCATCCTCTCCCAAGTGACCAGTGAGGAGACATTCCTGTACTCAGGAGCGCCGCCAGCTTTTTTGCCGCCCTAGGCGGTGGAAGGTCCCGCCCCCGAAATGCTGCCCCCGACAGAGGCGGCAGAAGGTCCCGCCCCCGAAATACTGACGACGACCAGGGCGATCTTCGGCTGCTGCAGTTGCCGCCCCCCAAATGTTAGTGCCCTAGGCGACCGCCTAGGTTGCCTAATGGGTTGCACCAGCCCTGCCTGTACTCCCACTATTCCTTCCCCAGTTTCCTTCTCTGACAGTGAACAGTGCCAAATGCTTCAGGGGGAAGGAACGGAGCTGGGCAATTCTCAAGTCCCAGCTTCTGGCGGTTGGAGGTTTAAGGACCCTCATTGCATGCGGTTGCGTCCCTGACCATCTTGGCTAATAGCCATTGGTGGACCTATCTTCCATGAACTTATCTAATACTCTAAGACACATTTCTCTGTGCTCCCTAGGAAGGGGTCAGTCCCTTATTCATCTGCAAAATTCTGCCAGCTAACAACTGGGACAGTTTCCTCAATCACTGATGACACCTCTCCTGCCCCTGCTCCTGAGGGCATGTTGCCTTCTACTGGAAAGGAGCTAGTCTCAGCCCCTCCCATACTTGGAAGCACCCTGCTTCCCTGTGTTACTGAGTTAAAGGAACCCTCACCCACCTCATTATTTCCGAGATTCCCTCCCCCTTCTCTGGCCTCTCCTCTGGGACACATTTCTCTATGCTCCCTAGAGCGGAGTCTGTCTCTGGTTCAGCTGCAACTTGCTAGCAGCTAACAACCTGGACAAGTCTCTCGATGGCAGGCATTACACCCCCATCCCTTCCTGATGTGGTGTTGCCTCCAGCTGCAATGCAGGAGCTGGTCTCAACCAGCCTCCCACCTGGAAGCATGTGGCTTCTCCCTGCTGAAGAAGAATCAAGGAGACTCTCTCCCATTCTCTTAGCAGTTCCTGAGACCTTATCCTTTCCCTCGGGGGTCTCAGCATAAAACTCCCTCCTGCTGCAGGCAAATACTTTAATCTGAGCTACACAGAAAAAATCAATACCAAGAAGCAGGTCAACTAGGAAGTGTCCCATTACCCCCACAATCAAAACACTTTCCAAACCTTCCCACACCACTCGGATTTTCGCTAGTGGTACGAGGAATCTGCTTTCGCCCACCCCCACAATCTTTGCCATTTGGCCAGTAACATACTGGCCTTTGGGACCACACACTGCTTAACCAGAGAGATCTGGGCCCCTGTATCCCTCTGCTCCGAGTACTCCCTACCATTAATTTGGACAATCTTAACATGCTTCATATCTGGTTCTGCAGAAGCCAATCTCACAAAACCAATACAATAGGTTTCGATTGCCTGGGGGGGTTCTGTGTTGAGGACAGCAGAATTAACATGAGCTACTGGTTGCCTGCTTCCTTCTACCACCGGGTATTTATTCCTCAGGTGATCAGTGGAATTACACCTATAGCACCTTTTCAGCGCTTCTGTTTTTACAGATTTGGGATGAGGGTTAGAGGAATGGTCTTGGGCAGGTGTGTACTCAGCCTCTCAGCCAATCTCCTTCTTGCTAGGGATAAAATGGGATCCTCCCTTCCCACCAGTTTTAAACCCCTCTTTCTGTGGCCTGCCCTCAATAGACGCCTGAGTCTGTTCAAAGGCATCAGCTAAAAAAGCCATCCCATCCACGGTCCTTGCATTTTTATCCCATAGACACTGCTTTACTTCGGCCTTACATATGCTCAAGAAATGCTCTTGAGCAACAAGATCAAGAATTCCTTCAGACACACAGCGAGAGACAGCCCCTGCCCTGATGAGTTTACAATCCAGCTAGACAAAGGATGGGAAGGGAGGCCCAGAGCAGGGAAGGGATTTGCCCAGGGCCAGGAGTAGAGGCTGGAATAGAACAAAGGGGACCAGAGACTCAGCACAACTCCTGAACCACAGTTACGCTGCCTCCGGTGAACTGTGGAGGCCGGATGCTCTAAAATGGACTTGAACTCAGCACGGTTCTTGTGCCATTTACTGCTGTGTTTAAACCCCCTGGGCTATCCAGGGCCTCCTGACCAGGTCTCTTCTGTGCTTTGCAGGTCCAAAATGCCATGGTTGCAGGGGCGGTGGGGATCATGGGCGTAGGAGCCCTTGTGGCAGTTGCTACATTCATTGGCGCATTGCTCTCTGACAACAAGCAGGAGGATGAATAAAGCAAACGTTGGCCTGGGCCAAAGACCTGAGCGAGATCCATGGGAGCTGATCTCTACTGGAGCTGGCTTAGCTTCCCACCCGCTTTCTCCTTTGGGATCACTGCCCTTGGGAGTTTGTTCCAATGGTTAATCACTTGCACTGTGAAACTTTGGTGCCTTATTTCTAATTGGAATGTGTCTGGCTTTAACTTCCAGCCATTAGGTCTTGTCCTGCCTTTCTCTGCTAGGTTAAAGAGCCCTTTAGTACCTGGGATTTTCTCCCCCCATGAAGATACTTATACAAAGTAATCAGAGCAGTAACTAGCTATTTTTGCGCCCGAGGCAAGAATATAAAATTGCGCCCTTCCCCCTCCGTATAGTTACTTTGTAAAAAACAAAAAAACATAAATAATAATAATAATGATAATAGAATGTTTATTTATTTTAATCATAAGATCCGTGTACAAAATCAACTAATACATATAAGGTGTGCATCATAGTGCATCATGAACTGTGGAGGTCGGGGCTCGCAGTCCGGCGCAGAGGTCAGGGTCGGGGCTCACAGTCCGGCGCAGGGGTTGGGCTTGTAGCCCCGCAGCTCCACACAGGGGTCGGGGCTTGCAGCCAGGGTTCGCGGTCGGGTCTCGCAACTTGCAGCCGCGCGCCAGGGTCGGGGCTCGCTACCCCCCACTACGACCCCCAGTTTGAGAACCAATGCTTTATAATTACTGTAGGGTGTATTCTATTTATTTTCCATTTACATTGTACATTTGTCATCACATGCAATGTGCATATTATGTGATTATAATTTTTCATAAATTAATAATTAAAAAACTTAATTTGTCTTTTTCTGCGCCCCTCAGCTTTGTGCACCCGAGGCAAAGTGCTTCACTTGCCTCACCCTTGTTACGGCACTGAAAGTAATCAAATCACTTCTCAACTGAAGCTAAACTGATTCAACTCTTTAAAGCTCTCACTGGCAGGCATTTTTTCCAGCCATCAAATCATTTTTGTGGCTCTTCTCTGCACCCTTTCCAATTTAGCAACGTGAATGTTAAAGCAACTAGTGGTTTTGGACATCTGGGACATTCTTGGCGAGTGTGTGTATAAATCTAGCCAGAGAGATTCTGCAGCAGATCTACAAGCTTGCATCAGCATTAACAGATTGTCTGGGTCATGCTGAACCACGTGTTGTCAAAGAAATAAAAGCATTGCTTACATGCCCGACACTTGGGTACGACCGCTCTCTGAAGGCGTTAGACACAGGTGTGTTTAACAAACGCTCCGAGAAGCCCCAGATCAGCAATATTGTCTTGTGATAGTTGTTGCTTTTCTTCAAGCCCCAGCTCCTGGAGTCATGAGAGTATGAGGGAATCTCATCTTTCAAAAGGTTTCTAGCCCTCCTTTGTTTAGAGAAGGGCTTGAACCATGAACACCATGACACCAGATGGCAAACACAAAGAACCCCAATAGTTGTACTTGTTAAAAAGAATTCACACATCTCCTGATCTTGGGTGGGGGGAGCTGACTCCATGGTTTTGAATGGGATGATTTGGGGGTGGCAATGCTAGAACTCCCATCAGCATAACTACTGCAAACTCCAGTTAGTTCCCTGCTTGCTCAGTCAGAGCCATTCCTGCGCATGCTCCTGAGCTCTGTCTTACTGAAGGGGAGACCCCAGCAGGGGCACCAATCAAGCAAATTATTTAAGTGCATACTTAACTTTAAGCATCCAAGAAGTACTATTAACTAGCTGGGCATGGATCAGACCCACTGCCCTAGCAAAGGAATGCCCCATAGCCCATTTCCCAACCCACTGAGCCAGCCAGTCCCCCCACCCTAGGACTGGATTGGAGCTGCCACCCCTGAGAAAGGAAAGACCCTGTATCCCATTCCCCAAATGCCTGAGCCAACCATCCACTCAGCTTCAGGCTGGATTGGAGCTGGTACCCCCTAGAGAAGAAAGGGCCCAGATCCCATTCTCTACCCCCCTGAGCTAGCCAGTTCCCCACCGTGGGGCCAGATTGGACCCAGCACACACTAGCATTTGACCCACCCACAGCCTGAGCCACTCTGAAACTGGAGCCCGCATGTAAGGTCAGTATCTCACTTTCAGTTTCCTTAGCTGATTCTTCCGAAACCATGTGGCTTATTAGAATCTGAGCAGCAAATGTCAATTGGCCAAGTCATCAGATACGGAAGGAAAATACATTCCAGGCCCTGGTCCCTGGTGAGGCAGGCAGCCAGTCTCCCAGTCTCACGCTGGACTGGAGCTGGTGCACCCTAGAGGGGAAAGGCCCTGTCCTCCACTGCCCCCCCAAGCCAGCCAAGCCCCTTGATGAGGCAGGTCAGCAGCTGGTGCCCCTATCACAGATCCAGTGGAGTTCCCCTCCCTGGCTACTCGCCAGGCTCTCCGCACTGGATGCTTCCCTGACCCACTGATCATTGCATACAGTTCAAAGCTAATACAATTTAGTAAACAGCAACCAATGTAAAAATCAAGGGAAAAATGGGAAAGGTGAAAGGAAAACCCATCCCTCCCTGTGTGGAGCTGGACGGTGTGACGTTGCACTCCATATGTTTATGGAAGTATGCTTATGAGTGTAACTATAATGTCACTGGAATATGTTTTATGTATCTGAAGCGAGAAATATGAAGTATTACTCTGAAGTCCTATTGTAACTGTGCAAAGTGTGGGCGATTAATGGTGGTTTAGAATCTTGATGGCTCCCATTAACTAGGACAATTGGTTGTAAATGGCTCTGTTTACGTGTAAGCCTTCCTGTGTATGTGTGTGCCAGCCAGTGAGTAATGAAGTTTCACAGGACATGTGAACCTGTCACATGATGCTGAAATCCATCTTAAACCTGGTGCTTTTTCATTTAGAAGGAAGGGTGGGAATCCAGAGACAGACAAAGAATTCCCACCTTGTGCCAAAGCTATAAAAAGGGGTGGAACAGAACAAAGGGGGCTGCCAGTCATGAGAAATCCCCTAGTTACCACCTGAGCTGGAACTAACAAGAACTGTACCAGGGGAAAGGATTGGGCCCAGACTAAGAAGGAGTCTAGTCTGTGAAAGAAGCATATTGGAACATCTCTGAGATTTACCTGTATTCAGTTTCTTAAATGTATTAGGCTTAGACTTGCGTGTTTTGTTTTATTTTGCTTGGTAACTTACTTTGTTCTCTCTGTTATTACTTGAGACTACTTGAATCCTACTTTTTATATTTAATAACATCACTTTTGTTTGTTAACAAACCCAGAGTAAGTGATTAATACCTGGGGGAGCAAACAGCTGTGCATATCAGTGTTATAGAGGGCAGATTATTCATGCATTTACCCTGTATAAGCTTTATACAGAGTGAAACTGATTTATTTGGTGTCTGGGTGCTGGAGATAGGTGACTTGCTGAGCAGTTTTTGGTTAAAGTCTGCAGCTTTGGGGGTGTGGATCAGACCTGGGTCTGTGTTGCAGCAGACTAGTGCATCTGGCTCAACAAGGCAGGGTTCTGAAGGCCCAAACTGGCAGTGGAAAGGGGCTCAGAGGTAATTTCAGCACATCAGGTGACAGTCCCAAGGGGTTCTCTGTGACCGAACCCATCACAGATGGGTTTGCTGGGGAGTTCAGGGGGCTCTAAGGGTAGGGCTCTCCTGGGTGGAGGGAGCTGATCTCTGTCCATTTGGGTCACAGGGGGAGCTTCTGGGAAAGAACTTGGAATCTTGGAAGATTTCGGTTGCTTCTTTGTGAGCCTACGTGATGTGCCGAGCCCCAAGGTGGAGGGAGGGAATCCTGAGTCCAGGGGGAGGGGCTGATCTGGTGGGAGGAAGGATGTGAGGGAATCCCATGTCCAGGTGCAGGGGACCCCAGGTCCGAGTGTAGGAGCCGAGCTGTGAGGGGTAAGGGGGCGGGGGATCTGACCTTTGGACTGTCTGACCCTAAATAACATAGGTGCTTTTGAGAATTTGACCCTAAGTGAATTACGAGCCTAAGTCCTGTTGAAAGTCAATGGGACTTAGGTGCTTTTGAAAAGGTCACCCCTTGTCATCCCAGGTTAGCCCTCCTGGTGACCCCACAGCCATGAGATGCCCCAGGGCAGCTGGAGTCCTGGAATTAACACTGGCTGCAGCCTCAATGGTTCAGACTGCACCTGCTCTCTAGAAGCCCCCCTAAGGATTCTGGCCCCATTGCGCTGGGTGCTGCCCAGCCCCTACATGAGATCGGGGCCCCATTATTCCAGTGTCACAGCTCTCGTTGAGCGCCTCCTCTTAGCCACTCACCAGATTGCTGTGGATCCCCAAGTGTTTTAATCCTCTGGAGTCTGAACAGAGTCAACATTGCCCCAGTCTTGGGGTCCCAGCGCACACTCATCTGAGGCAGACCCTCTAATATCTCCTGCTGAGGGCTGCAGCTCCTGGAATCAGCTGACTCCTCAGACTGCCCCATAGCGTAAACACACCATGTCCCAGCACCCCCAGAAGGCATGAGCATTGTGGGTTACAGTTCCACTCGTGCAGGGTATGTGGTGAGTGTAACATAACACACAGAGACACTGTGCCTAGGACTCTACAGCACTACGTGCCTCACTTAGCTGTATGAGAAATATACAGGAAACAACAACCACCCTAACTGTAATGCCCTCTCACTAGTTCACTCTTCCCTTGGGGCACCCTCTGAGGTCAGATACAAGGGATTCCCACTTCCTCCACCTCAGCAGCCTCCTGTCCCAGCTTCTCTGTGCTTGAGCTGGCAAAAAGGGCCAACGCCCACTGCTAGATCAGCTTCTTTATAACCTCCCAGTCCCTCCGTCAGGTGACACCCTTGTCAGCCTGTCCAGGTCATTCCAGCCCACAGCCGGGTGACGTTGTTGCCAAGCAACCTCGCCCTGATAAACCAGTTCAGCTGAGTCAGAGCTAGCCTGATGTTTAGAGCGGTTCTGTTTCAAAGGTTGCACACTTAGTCAGTGGTGCTCCCTTATCAGCCGTGGGGGTTTCAGCCCAATGGGAGGTCACAGGACAACAGAGACAATAAAAAACCCTGACACAGACACAGGCAGAGAATGCCCCCATCAAACAGTCTTAAGCCATATATACAGATTCCCCAAATCATCACAGCCGGCCCCTGCCCTGAAGCGTTTACAATCTAAATAGACAAAACAGCTCGCCTGGCACAATATGGCCCTGATCCCAGTCAGGGCCTGTGCAGCATTCAACACGGTGAGGGCCTTTACCATGGTCAGGACCTCTGGTCATTACCATAATATAAACCACAGACATGCTTCTCTCCAGTGTAAGTGACTTTCTCACTAGCCTCGGCGTCTGGATTCTGTATTTCTGATGTAACTAATTTTCCCTAATAACACCTAGATGATAGGTATGCAATTTGTGTTGGATGTCGGTACCTTGGGTACATAACCGTGGGGCAGTGAGTAGGAGTGTGGTGGTGGTTTTATCTCTGAATACGGCCTTGGAGAGACCCACCCTGGAAAGCTGAGTTCAGTTCTGGGTGCGTATTTTAAAAAGGACATTGAAAAATTGGAGCGAGTGCAGAAAAGAGCCAGAGAAATGATTTGAGGACTGGAGAAAATACCTAGCAGTGAGAGCCCTCGGCAGCGCAATCTGTTCACCGTCTCTAAAGGCGGATCAAGTGATTACTTGATCATGGGGTGTGTGTCTCATTGTGGGGTGCAATTCAGACCAGTGAGAGGCTGTCACTGCCTGTAATATAACCCTGGGGGCCCCAGAAAGCTTCTGCTCCTTGTGGCTGCATGCGTAGGACACACACACACAGCCTGCAGCCAGCACGCTCTGTTCTGTAAGCCGTGCAGCTCACATTCAACCACTTTGACTCAACAGCCTGCCAGCAGTTATCACAGACACGTGCTTGTCTTACCAGCCTTGGTTGATGTTAGCAGGTGACCCCCAACAAACACCCCAGTCACAAACAAGGCATTTTAAGTTGTTCGTTCTCCTTTATTGGAGTAGGTAGCAGAGCAGTACCATGAGAGGAGTAGAACAGGAAGAAGGCAGAATTGAGACCTTTCAAAAATTTGGCCCACGCAAGAGGAATGGGGGCATCATTTGAGCTCCCCGCCTCAGGTGCCAAAATGTTGTGGGCCGGCCCTTCAGGAGCTCAAGAGCCGGGCAGGACAGTCCCATGGGCCGGATGTGGCCCATGGGCTGCAGTTTTCCCACCTCTGGGCTAACTCATGTGAAAGCTACAAACTGCCTTGTCATCGCTACCGTGTGCCACTAACATGAATTAGGGACACACTTTTTTTGTAACTAGCAAAGTCACAATCTGGTTCCTTTATTTGGCTCTATGCTGCTGATTAGGCACCGCCCCATTGACATCAGTTCTCCATCTCCCAAGGAAACCAAAAGTGAAATCACAGGGCAGAGAGGAGACGAGAGACTAGAAGAAACTTACTTGGCCGTCGGGACGCTGTGGAGATGCCCCCGCTGTTTGTGAGTAGCCCCGTGCAGAAAGCCATGGCCAAATCATTGCCAAGGCTCTGGGTTCCCCTGGGCAGCGGTTCTCAACCTTTCCAGACAACTGTTCTCCTTTCCAGAGTCTGATTTCAGCTCCCGGTGGCGGGGCTTGGGCTTCAGCTCCGCCACCCCCGGGTGAACCTGTAACTTAGCTTCGTGGGGCTCCCTGCGGAGTGGGCAGTATAAACAAGTCATTGTCTGTATGACATTTTAATTTGCATTGACTTTGCCAGTGCTTTTTGCGTCGCCTGTTGTAAAACTAGGCAACTATCCAGCTGCGTTGTCATCCCCCCAGAAGAGCTCTGGGGTACACGTATCCCTGGTTGAGAACCACCACTCCAGGGCCGGCTCTAGGATTTTTGCCGCCCCAAGCAAAAACAATTTTGCCCCCCCCTCCGTTTTTTCTTACCCCCACCCCCGGCCCCGCCTCAACTCCACCCCTTCCTCAAATCCCCAGCCCTGCCTCCTCCCCCCAGGCTCTCAAGCCTAGGAGGGAGGGAGGGAGAGGGAGAAGCAGCGCGTG